TCCAATCTGTACTCCAAACTTTGGGCTAAAATAACTTTGAAAAACTTGTCTGAGGATCTCCGGGGCTTCCAGTTGCCTCCAGAACAAAATCCTTTCCCTGATGGGCAGCCGCTTCCCAGCCTCTCTCTGCCACACGCCCGTGGTCCAGCCCACGCTGGCTCTCTCTGTGTCTGGACACAGTGCACCTGAGTTATTAGCCCTTGCCAGCCCCTCTCCCTTTCTCCATCTGGCAAATGGCTATCCTGCAAAGCCCAGTTCCAATGTCACTGCTGCTCCATCAGCTTCCTGACCCAAGGTAGAGTGTTAGTCCACTCACCTGGTCCCTCATGGCACCTAGTGCATAGGTATATTACTATCAACAAATTACACTACCTTTTTCTGTACAGCTGATCCTGTTTCCCATTTCTTCCCACCTTTGTTTCCAGAGGCGTGGTATACAGCAATGCTCTGTCTCTAGAAGAAACAGATGGAGTCACATACAAAGGAACTGCTTACACAGCACAAGGGGCGATGAGCTTAAAGAATTCAGCCGGTAGGAGGGTAGCTGGCCCAGCTGCCTTCAGATTCCTTCTATACACATATCACCTGTGATCAGCACAGTCACTTAACCCACTGGCGGATATGAAAGAGGGAGAAAGCAGCCCCAAATTTCTACCAGAGCACTTCTGCTTTTCCCTCTTGTAAATTAAGTTTTGTTTGGACAGGAGAAAGACTCTGTTGCTGAAAATATAGTTTAAAACACACTGGCTTGGATGGCCGAGTCCTTTATGACCTCTTGCCTAAACACCTGTAAGAAATTCTTCCTAACTAGCTTCCCAGCCTATATAGTCTTTTCTTCCTCCACCCAACTTGCATATTGCGTATTTGAATTATAGAAGTTTAAAGGGAACATACGTTAGTTATAAAACGTAATTGTATAAAAAATCTAACAAACCAACCATCCAGTCCTACAACTAAAACATTAAGGATAGCTTACATCTACCTGTATATACCTCATCTGTCTCGACCATGTGCCTAACACCTGGAGTTAATCACTGTCTTTAACTTTCACTTTTTTATCCTATAGTCATGTATCGCTTAAAAACGGGGATACATTCTGAGAAATGTATCATTAGATGATTTTGTCATTTGGGTGAACAGCATAGAGAGCACTTACACTGACATGGATGGTACAGCCTGCTACACACCTGGGCTGTATGGTCTAGCCTGTTGCTCCTAGGCTGCAAACCTGCACAGCATGTTACTGTACAAAACAACATGAGATTAAATCAAGCACAAGAGAAAATGATTCCAGCGAGAGACTCAGCGAACAAAAAGTTGTATGAGGCTGCTGCTGGTGGAACATGGCACAGTGTTTTACAGCAAACTTTCTATAAGTAGAAATAGTACACTATAAAATAACAATAAAAGTACAGCAAATACTTAAACCATTAATTATAAATGACAAGTCATTTATTAGTATTATCAAGTATTAGGGAATACACGTAATTGCATGTGCTATATGTTTACACAACTGGCAACCCAGGTGTTCACGCAGCATCATGATGAGAGCTGAGGAATAGGGATTCTCAGCTCCACCGTGATCTTATGGGACCACCACTGCGTATGGTCTGTGGACTGAAATGTCGGTCTGCTGTGTGACTATATATGCACGTATATATGTACACATATGCACTTACATGTTTATATATGTATCATTATACACTATATGCTAGAATATATTTTTATTAATAGTTAACTTGGATAAATTTTACATAAAGTGTGGATAAGTGTAGAAAGCCTTACTGTGCTGAATACTTTTTTCACCCTTTCATTAGGAAAAAGAAACCTTTTGATATGATTTCTTCATTTTTGTTTACATCCTGTTTGTTGCTACTACTAATAGATATGCAGCCCTCTGCACTTTCACACATCCACTGATATTAAATATTAAATATTTGTTGAATGAGTGATTGCTGCATATCTAAGGCTGTATTATATGTTGTGGAGAATACAAAGAAATATAAAAGATGGTCTCTACTTCAAGATGCCTATGAGTTAATTGGGAAAATAAGACATAATTATGTGAAAATTTATGTGGAAAACATCAGGTTCAAAATTAATCTATCTCCTGGCTGCTACGGAAGCAATTCCATTGTCAAGAAAGTGATGAGAAAGGTCCCAAATACTAAAATTGGAAATGCTGAGTTCTCAGATAAATCTGATTACACAGCTTGGTTAGAATGTTCATTTTTCCAATAAGGCAACATGAAAGTCAATATCCTAAGATTGAGCGGTGGTGAAGACTGATGTCATTGGACTGGTGCAGAAAATAGATCTTTTAGGAGCTGGGGTACAGAGTTTTGTGAGCAGGTATGATCAGGTAGGTTTTATAAAGGAAGGAGAACCCAGGGGCACAATGGGGGAGGGGGTGAAAGTCAGAGACTATCAATGAAGGAGCAGGGACTCACTGTTGAATGAGCAAGGTGTGTTCTACATTTGGGAGCAGACCTGTTCAACTGGACTGGGAAGTGCTTGGGGGGTGGGGGGGGGGAACGCTAA